CATTTCCAGTGCAGATTCCTACTAAGGTACCATAAGACCACAAACTGCCATAGGAGCCATTCCTGTAAGTACAGCTATGGATTCATCTTCTCTCACCCTTATGGAACAATCCCTCCTAAGCAGAACATAGCCACAAGATGTTTTCCACAATTAACATCAAAATATTTTTTTAAAAGCAATTTAATAAGATGACACCCACAACCTGAGATGAAATCATTCTAGATTACCATTTTCCCTCCCTCCCTGCCCACTCCCTTCTTTTTTTTTTGTCATGATTTTAGCAGCTAATATCTGTATGAATGCTGGGAGTTAGGAATTATATTATGAGACAAATCATAACAGTGGTGCCTATTAATACCAGGTGAGGACCAAACCCCAGTGCCTTCCCCATTTTGAAAGCTGCGGTAATGAAACTTCATATGGCATATAGCTTTAGACTGAATGGAAAGCACTTGGTAGACAGAGGCAAATAAAATCTTTATGGAACTGAAGGGGAAGGGCCAAACAGACATGAGGACAGTGCTTCCAAAAGGCAAATAGTGTTGCAGGGACAGCTAAGTGGGCAGGAACAAAATGTTCTAGACAAGCAAACCACTGTGAGCAGGTTTTGGCCATTTTTCCAGGGTATGTAGAGCAAATAGAGGTTGAATGCAGATCCAGAAGCTGTCATTGAAGAGAGAGCAGTAAAGCATATTAAGATCTTTGGATGGAAAGTGCTATATATGCTTCCTCAAGATATTATTTTCATTTTCGTTAATTAATAAGTTCTATTATTAACCAAATTTTATTTTTGAGGCTCAGGCAAAATATAAACTCTTTGTCTGAAGACTGTATCCAACTTTCAGTATTTTACACATCCTAAAACCACTCTCTGTCCCTTCTCATTCTCTTGTTGGAACTGAAAATGAATAAGCCAAAATGGTATGTGACACCACCATTTTGGTGGAAATTTCCCTTTTTTTCCTATATTAATATGTTGTATTTTGAACCTCTGTTAATAATTTTTCCCTGCTTAAAGCTGGATTTTGTTCCTTTGGAGGGATGATTTACTGTAAGTGGCTGTGAAAAGACATTAGGAGAGCAAATAATCCTTTGGGAACAAAGAGTCACAACACAGAAAAACAGCTGTTGAGACTATAACAAAGAGTCTAGTATGCCAACATGCAGCAATAATATTCAAGATTAGGAAAAAAAGGCTAGCGTCTTCATTCAGAAAAAAACCAAAACTAGAACAAAGATGTAAACACCTGAAAAATTGGCAGATAGATCAGAGCTGTACACAACACCAGCAGAGAAGGAGAAATTGCCATGTGTGGGAGGGGGTGAAAATCGAGAAAATGTTTCTGTTATACCTTTGTGAATCAGAATAAATCACTACCATTTCAGAAAGCACAACGACAATTAGACTGGATAGCTATGGAGCATTAAATTTATTGTCAAGGTAAGCAGTGGGAGAACCAAATCACCCACTGATGTAAATCAGACTCCTTGAAGTCAATGGTGCTAGAGTGGATTGCTAACCCCATGATTTGTGTTGTGATTCAGATAGCGACAACATCGTTCATACATATTTTGGATTATTTTGCAATATATAACATTACACCAATTTTACTGCAGTCTGTTCCAGCTGATAATCAGGATAATCTATAGAGGCTCTCCTGTAAGCTGCAACCCGTGGCTATAGCTCAGCTCACTATCAGAAAACTCTGAAATGCATTAAAAAATGTCTCTTTTGTTAGACTGAATATTCGTAAGTTTCTTTTTGGCAGCAAGGTCTGACAAGAGAGGACCTTATCCCTCCCACCCTTGTGAAGGGTGATAATCCATTTAAATAAGGTAAAAAACATAGGAAACTTTAATGAAAATAAGTAGCATAATTTTTGATATTAAATGTTTGATGATCCTATAAGAAAATCTGAAGGACCAGACTTTATCTCCTTGTCTAATTCCGTTTTCTTCTTCAGTTGACCTTTCAAGAATTTGCCTTATTTCCAAAGAAGCATCTTCATAGAGGTGAGATTCAGAAAAGGAGCAGAGGAAGGGACATTTTTAATTCCCATAAACTCTTAAAAAATGGATGAACCCACTGGAGTATCACAATTAACTGCCACAAGTCCTTGGACCTGTTAAAACAGGTCCGGAGAAGGGTCATAAAAATGATCAGAGGGCTAGAACACCTCTTCTATGAAGACAGCGTGAAAGAGTTGGAGTTATTCAGCACGGAGAAGAGAAGGCTCTAGGGAGATCTTATTGCAGCCTTTCAGTACTTAAAAGTGGACAAAGACTTTTTACTAGGGCCTGTAGTAATAGGACAAGAAACTGAAAGAGGATAGATTTAGTTTGGATATAAAGAAGAAATTTTTTATGATGGAGGCGGTGAGACAAAGGAACAGGTTGCCTGGAGATGTGGATGCCTCATCCCTGGAAGTGTTCAATGCCAAGTTGCATGGGGCTTTGAGCAACTTGATCCAGTGAAAGATGTCCCTGCCCTCGACAGGGGGACTGGACCAGATGATCTTCAAAGGCCCCTTCCAACCCAAACCATTCTGTGATTCCATGATTTTGTGATTTTAAGTTATAGGAGCTCCACAGGTGTTCCAATTCATACTGAGCCCTGAGCCAGAGCTGATGCAGACCCCAGATAAGCTTCTTGTGTCTACCCCTCTGCTGAGTATCCTTAAGCACAGTCTCCTTACTGTGCAACTTACTGTCAAAACTAGGGAGGGAACCAATCCCTACAACACACTTCTCCAATAACAGTGTCCCACTTAAATACATCTAGTTCCCCTAACTAGCTCATGGGGGCGATTGTAACTAAAAGCATGATTTATGCAAGAAAATGCTAATGCCACCATTAATTTGAGATCTTAGGCACAAAATATTGCCCTAGTTTCCCCACGGCCCACATCAATTTTACATCAGTGGAATTCTGTGGATACCATCAGAGTTATCCTAAATTGGTTTAATAAAGGCAAGAGCAAAGCAAATAACTGTTACTTTATTTTTATATGTGCAATCCACTTTTAATACAAATCTCATTTCTTTAAGAATTGAATAACATGCACCCATAGATTACTCCTCAAAATTTCAGGACTTGTTTTTCTGGACTCATTTACACTCTGTAATGCCTTGTCAAAGGCAGCCAGCTTGTTTTGCTCCTGGCTTTGCCTTTCCCCAAGTTTTCCCAGGCTGATCAATCACTGGGTGCTCTGCCCTGCAGGTAGCTCTTCCCAGCTCCAGCTCCACAGTGAATACAGAAAGTGGCTGCTTAACAAGCTCTCCTTTGTATCACCCACAGACAAGTCTGATGCACATTGCTGTTAAATGAAAAGCTTATCTCCAGCCACAAATGCCCTTTAAGCAAACACATAGAAACTCTCCATGTTCAAATTTCAGGATCTTGTCCTGGAGCTGCAGCTCTGGCATCTAAAATGTAGTTTTTATCAAGAACATGCAAGCTCACAAAACAGGGAACTCAGGCATCCCTTGCGCTGATTGACTTCCAGGTCCTGCCATGTAACTTTGAGCAGCTCCTGGACGAAGAAATGCTCGGGTTGCTGCTCTCCCCTTTGTTTGTTATGAGAAGGCTGAACCCAGGGGAGCAGCTGAGTGAAATGGTTGTTTTGCTATAAATAATTCATAACTTTCCAAACAGCTTTCTTAAATTCAATAAAATGTTTCTTTCACTGAGGGCTTCTCTTTTAATTTTTAAAACCAATTTTTCTTTTTCAGAAATTAGAAAGAGAGAGATCAGTTAAGCGGCGGGGTTTTTTGTTTGCATGTCTGTTTTTGTCATGGTTGAAAAATTGGAAGGATCTTGATCTTTCTTCGCACACATTTCACATTGGAATAGACCTTGATCTTATTTCACACAAGTGTAACTGCACAGACTTCAATGACAGTCTCTTTCTAATTATGTCACTGAAATGTAAGAGATTCACTGTACCATTTTGCTCATACATAACAGCTTAAGCAGCTTTTCTTCTAACACTTGTAAAAACAAATTCTAGGCAAAGAACAGGAATGAAAATGAAATTCAGAAAAGCTACAAGATACTGAAAAAAAGAATTTGGAATAAAATGCATGTTTTTTTTAACTAAATCACCAATCCTGTCAGATTAGATTCATCAAACACTTTATTCATGGGAAGTTTCCAATGAAGATGTATTAAGTCTCAATGGGAAATATTTTCAGTGAGGTTTTAACAAGTAGAAAATACCCCAGATGTTGGTAGAGTTTGAGTTTTTTTTTTTTTAATAAGTTTTACAGTCAGCTCAGGGGCTAACTTAAGGAAAGCCAGAAGCTTATGGTATGGGCGATAAAACCAAATCAAACAGCTGTTATACTTAATACAAAAAGTGTAAATCTGCGTACTTGTGAAGCTGAAATTTAGCTCCTGTTAGGCATGGAAAAAAATTACTATTATTTTTGCTTTTGTCATCCTGGGCTTGAAGTTATGGGATGCTGGAACTCTCACACTTCTGAAAGAAAACTTTGCTGAGTATATTCTCATAATAAGTTGATACAGCTTAGTATAAGTTTTCAAGTAATCAGATTGCCTTTCTGAAATCTTGAATATATGCCTTCAAGATGTCGGTGACTGCCTTATCTTAAATGCACCTATTCTGAAATTATTTGACCAGTATCCTCTTACATATGAAGGACACAAAGCAATTTCATTGCCATATAAAGTTCAGAAATGCATTCCAGTAAGCTTTATATATGTATTTAATCTTTCTTTTTTGTATTTGCTTTTTCTTTTAGTAAGTGATGGAATAAACAACACTTTCCTTTGGATGGATTATACTACATGTGAACTGCCTGTTACTCTTTCCACAAGAATAAGACAAGCCCTTTGTTTTCATTTATTAAATATCAGCTTGATAGCATAAAGCTTCTGAATGGCTCACAATCCCAGCAGACCATTGATTGAATGGGATCAGCTCTTCTCCTACTGAAATATCTGAAGTTAAGGATTTGGAAAAGAGGTTTTTGCAGAGATGACCCATTTACAAGCTGGACTTAGTCCAGAGACTATAGAGAAAGCACGCCTGGAACTGAATGAAAACCCAGACATTTTGCATCAGGATATCCAGCAAGTCAGGGACATGATCATCACAAGGCCTGACATCGGGTTTTTACGTACAGATGATGCCTTCATCTTGAGATTTCTCCGAGCCAGAAAGTTTCACCAAACTGAGGCCTTCAGACTGCTGGCTCAGTACTTCCAGTACCGCCAATTAAATCTGGATATGTTCAAAAACTTCAAGGCTGATGATCCAGGAATCAAACGGGCTCTGACAGACGGGTTTCCGGGAGTATTGGAAAATCGCGACCACTGTGGCAGGAAGATTCTTCTGCTTTTTGCAGCCAACTGGGATCAGAGTAGGTAAATGTAGATAGTGTCCTTATCTTTTTACATGCACTCACACTCAACTTGTAACCAAATGTTTGTGACCATACTTGTTGCAGCAGGGCCATTTTCACTAAAATATTTTGTAACCATGTGTCCATTTCACTAAAGCTTTCATCTGATCTGATGACCTCTCGTTCTTCAGACATAGTACCATTGAGAGATAAGGGTACATCAGTGTGTCAGATAAGCAGCTCATGTTTTTTTCCCATAAATATTTCCAGTTTTTAGCCAGATAGTGTCTGTTTGCTATAAATACATTAATGGCTATTACGGAATTGCTTCAGTAGTATCACAGACTAGCTGAACAAATTGACAGAAAGCGAATGTCTCAAAACATATGGGGGTTCTCGTAGCTCCTCTGGTGCGGAAGGAACTGACCATATTTATTCTGTCTCCAGGCTTCTTAACGGACATGTCAGGAATTACAGCCTGTATTATGAGATTTCCACAAACTGTATTGTAATTTCTACACACTCTGGTTACTGTATGCTTGTTAGTCTGATAAGTGGGAGATTCATGTGAAACTTATTTTCTGTTCAGGTCATTTCTTTACAGAGTGATATGAACAAAGATATCTCCCAGCCATTATTATAAAATGATGTCCTTAAATGTTAACGTGATTAGTCAGCTTTCACTACCTATTTGAAGTGATACAGAGAAAAGGGGCTAGTCCAGGATTATCATGTTCACATTGTCCTCTTGTTCAGAAGTCATTCCATTCCATTTTCCCTGCCTTCACAGTGAGATGGAGAAATGTAATCAGCTGTAGGATTGCCATGTGTTCTGCTGATTTTTGGTAAAAATCAGACCGAAGAACAAAATTCAGATTTAGGTTCAGAGTATCGTAAATTCTGATGAGTTCCAGGTAGGATTTTGTCTTGGCACAGTCTGTAGTTGTCCATGAAAGGGTCTTATCCTTGGGAGTCAACAGATTGGAGCTTTGAATTTGTTACAGAAATTATTAGAGAACAATACACATCTGTCTCAAATTTTTCATGTTGTTTTCTGGGAAAACCTTTCATCTCTGTGTGAAAACAGAATTCAGAAGTGTTTCCAATTTTCCTTAGCATGTACAGATTTGATAAATAAGTGTACAGAAAAAGTTACAGAAATGTAACTTTGTACCTACAAAAGTATTTGGTGAAATCCGGAACTGAAACCAGTGATAAAAGTCCTATTGACTACAAAGAGGCCAGCAGCTTTTCTCCCATCTTTCTGAGCTGTGAGCTTGCCTTTCTTCCAACCACAGAAGCATTCCTTTAGCGATTGGCCTGGGAAGAAAGATGAATGAACAGGTATCTTGAATTAATATGAAGTATCAGCTTTAGAGGACAGAAGCACTGTGGCTCTGCGGGTTGCATTAAGGGATTTAGGTATTATATAGAGCCAGCTTTGGGTTTCTGATCTCTCAACAAAATGAATCCTTGTGATTAACCTCGTACAGCAGGTCCTGCTCCGGGAAAGCTGAGAGTGATGCTGTCTAAGGCTCCTTCCCTGAGATTTTGACAGAACATTGATTCCTATCAGGTTTTGGCTCAAATTTTCTGCAAGTCCTTTAATATACATCCATGCATGCGTGTATCTGTGTGTGTGCAAAAACCAAAGTGATCCTGCATGCAAGATACCTTGTTTCTGAAAATGTAATTTTAACCTTCAAAGAAGAAAGGCTGAGGCAAATAGGTTAGAATATTCTTTCCTAAGGCTCCTCAGTGAAATTAAAAATCGCACACAAATTTTGCCTCTCTTCAGCCTCAAGTCCTCTATGGATGCAAATGGCAAGAAGTGTCATGTCTGTGAGTTTTTGTAGCGCTGCAAGTGCTAGAAGGATTTGAGACAGGATTTGGCTGTAAGTAGAGGGACAATCTCCTTTTTTGCCATCTAAAGGCATCAACAAGAGCCAAAGCTGTTGAGGAATAGGAAATGATGAGTGCAATGTCCTGTTAAGCAGAGCAGAAGCAGATTTTTGACCAGAAGAAATATATAGTCATATATATTAAACAAACAAACAGATATTGTGTATATCTTACAAACATATATTTTGGGCAACCTTTCTATAGACATGTCTTCAATGATGGCAAGATGTTCAAAAGCTTACATTTCAGCTGAATGCTAGTGCAATTGACTCATATGATGTCGTGACGCTGATATGCAAGAGTGAGAGCTCAGCCCTCAGCATGCCTTTCCTAACTTTCATCTCATTTGCCACTGGCTATGTCTTCTCTTTCTTTATCATTAAATCATAATGATAAGGAGTCATTTATAAAGAAATAATAATTTATAAAGGGTCATTTAAAGTCAGCATAACTATAATCCATAAACTGATTTTCAATCCAGACATTCTTATCATTTATACTCCTGGCAATATGGTGGCTGTACGGATCACATGTCAAGGAGGGAGAAGCAACATCATAACTTTCTGATCTTACAAATATATCGGTTTCTGGAAGGAAATGTCATTATTTGTGTAATGTGACTGCTTGGACAAGTCAGATCCAAGATATTCTTAAGAGATTCTCTGTATAAAACTTTTATGTGATCTTTTAGAAATATTTGTAATTTTAGCTTCAAGAATGTAATTGATAGATCTAACATCTCTAGAAAACTAGGTTTTCATTTCCAGTCTCAATGTTTCCAGCTTCAGCTTCCAGCTGCTGGATTGTGTTAGTTTAAAGGGAGTGCAAAAATATGACAGCTTCTCGTGTTTGTACTTTTGTGTTCTGACCACATCATCTTTTAACGTGCTTTTGAATTCACTGAGGATGCAGCACTGTAGGGTTAGTTACTGTCAGGCAACAAGAAGACAGTACATTAGCAGCGGTTCTTGTGTTCACTTTTAATGATGGCGAATGTAAAACAGCTAACCCTCTTCTCCTTGAGGGCAAAACAGCCTAGTGTTGTACACAGGGTAAATAACGCGTGAACAGTAGTGTTAGACCAATTAGCTTGTTAAGGACAGCGCATGAAAGCGTGCACAGGACCGAGCTATGCTATAAAAAGAGCAGTATCACAGAATAAAGCTGAAGCCTTTTTACTCATCATATTGATGCGTCTTGCTTCCCCGTCTTCGGCCGCAACAGATCATGTTCTGTGACGCATTGCACTATCTTAGAGTCTTGCAAAATCTTTATGCTACCAAAGCTTGAATAGATTGAACTTCTTTACTCTCAGAGTTAGGAAGATTTTCCAGATTGCTAATGCTCTTCATCATTCTTTTCTGGATCTTTCCTATCCTTTTAGCATTGTTGCTAATGTATAGACAGATGAACTGAATACAAACTTTCACTAATAAACCGTCATGTGGTAACACCATATCTTATGCTCAGTAGTTGCCTCCTTTTAGACATAAGATTGTCACTGTTTTCTTAGCTTCTTTATCACATTTTTGAGCTCATGTTCAGCTCAAATCTGCTTCCAAGTCACTGTTTCCTAAAATACAAACACCACTGGTAAATGTGTCATACATTCTCATCCATAATGTGGGCACAGTCTAGCATGTGATTCACGCTCTTCTGCAGAGCTAAACCTGTCTCCTCATCAGTTATCATCACATGGGTTTTGTGACATCTGCAAGGTTCACTGGCAAGAATTTTTTTTTTATTTCCACCTAGTTGAAAAAGATGGTGATTATGGTTTTGACCAAAACCTCCTTGATGACTAGGAAAAAAACACAAGGAATGAAAATTTTTATCTCCATATCACTAGCTGAAGAGATCTATCATGGTGCAAAGTTTTCATTCATTTAACATGTGCTGACCTGCTTCAATTTTGCTCTATTTTCCAGACAAGTTTCTTAGAGATAATGTCATCACTTTCTCTCTGAGTCCTCCATAGTATATTTTGGATCTGTTAGTTAATGTTAATCCCATATGATATTGAACAGAAAACTTCAGAGATATTGAATAAGTGAAAACGAGCAGATGGGTAGAAAAGAGATCAGATCAGTTTCACAGTGAGGGAGAGCAAAAATGTTGAGCTATATTATTGTACACTAGAGAATCCACACAGGGGAGGGCCATTGTTCACTTTAATCAGAGTTCAGTCCTCAGAGGTGAAGAATGATCCACCTAAAAGGTCTGAATTCACCCCAAACCCACAAAGACTTCACATATACCGCTGCTTACAGAGTACTTTATTTTTAAATTGAAATCGTGGAGTAGTAATGACAGATAAGGATGTCAAACTGATCTTTTCAAGAACTTTTTTTATGAAATAATTTGTGTCATAAAAAATCCCAGGTTGTAAAACAAATCCACACATACATACAAACATACAGATTTGATGAGACCTGAACCAGGATTTCACAAAAAACCAATTGTGCCATGTGCTGGATTATGAATATTCTTTCTCACACTTTCTCATTTCATCAGTCTCACCAAACCTAAGCCCTCACACCCCTGGCACACCTCTAGTGATTCTGAAGCTTTTAAGGAAGTCAGGTAAGAGTGCCATTTCAGCTGTCGCATTGAGGAAAACCTTCACTATCGCAGCTGTTCCTAGGTCTGCTACTGCCTTCTAATATATCCTGCTTGTACATCCGGGAGGTGGGGGGTTTGGGTGTACAAATAATTCAGCAGAAGGTGTTCATTAATCTCCCAAGTAAAGATATTTCCTTCAAGGTTGTTCAACTGGAGTAAAATTTATTTCTGTATAGAAAGCCAGCACAAGGGCTATTTCTAATCATAATCCTCTGCAAATAGGGTCTTGGGGTAGACGGGCAGAAGGTTGCCCATTGTCTTATGCAGCAAAATAGTAATTAATTTCTGTCTTCATGTCTGGACTGTTGTGTCTTAGAAGCTGCCACATACTCCAAAAATTCTGTAAGTAAATCAGACGGAAAAATTGCTGCTTTGTTTACAACATACATTCCCAAGTCAGCTGCTAGCCATAAATTCTATTTTATTAACCAAGGAGCCTCAAATGTCAGACACTTACCGTTCTATAGGAAAGTGTACTGAGATAGGCTAAAGGGCAAT